AGAGAGCTAAAGATGTGGAAAACGAGAGCTAGGGGTGGAGGAGTAGCAACCTGCATGGAACTTGGAGGGAGAAGCGCAAGTTGGCGGAGGAAAGAGGTGGAAGGAGCATCAGGAAGTCTGACAGTGTGCACACGACTTGACAAGTAGCTGGAGTTGCAGCATATGTGTAAGACAATTTAGTTTTAGAAACATGAAGTCCTCATATTATTACCTAGCTTGCAGTACATGGTGGCAGCAGACAAGCTAGTGCCACCCACAGCAGCTCCTAGAAATAGAACAAATAGACAGCATAGAGTGACTCAGACTACTGGATTTCCAGACAAAAAGTCTTGCACAAGTATGGAAGCAAGAATTGAGTCTAAACAGAGTTGACCATGGGGGATAAAGATAAGAACATGTAGGTAAAGCTTTTTTATGGTCTCACTGGGAGATGGGGGGAGTGGGTGACAAGAAGTGAGTGAGACACAGTTGCCAGTAATGATGCCCAAGATATAAACAGCAAAAGCATTTGAGCACTTGATCCCAGACAGAATGAGTCTGTAGAGCGCTGATTTTTTAAAACCCAAAACCAAGAAGCAGGAGGAGGAATAAATACTTATATTACTGAGCTGAGAACTCTGGCATCCACATGTAACTTCAGAGACATAAAAGACTGTCTAATTAAAGAAAGACAGGGTTGTTTGTAGGACACATGATTTCATTTTACAAGAGAGAGTGTTGAGAGAAATGGCTCTAATCTGAGAGTCAAAGTGGGTCAGATAATCTCTTTTATTAGACCAACTTCTGTTGGTGGAAGAGAGAAGCTTTCAAGCTTCACAGAGCTCTTCAGCTCTGGAGAAGGAAACTAGAATGTCCAAATTAAATAAAAGGTAGGACAGACTTAAGTTTAACTCCTTGACCATCTTTAGACAGACAGTTGAAGATGCTCCTGATCTGCCTACACGATATAGGTGGAGTAGATGGAACAGCATTACACTGGCTCTATTCTTCTCAAACAGGATGCCAGAGAGATGGGCAACTGAATCTCTTTCTCCAAGGGCCTTTGCCTGTGGTGTCTCCTATTCTGTTCCCACCCCTCCACCTTTTCAACATCTACATGAGACATGATGATACAGTTATGAGACAAATCTCTTCTGACAATCTATACCTGTAGTTCTTTTCTTTAGATGCAGTCGATGTTGCCAAATGTGTCAAATTCTGCAAGACATCAGCATCTGCATGAAGAACAGCTGGCTCATATTTAACTCAGGCAAGACCAAGGTGATGATGCCTTCTTCCCACCAACATTGTGAATTAACTGAGATACCTATCACTTCCACTGAGGCTGTCTGATCTCTCTTTCAAAGTGGTGCAAAGTCTTGGACTCCTGTTGGAATAGTCATTAAACCTGGACAGACGGGGGTGACAATGTCAAGAAATGCATTCTGTCAAATATAATTGGCTAGACACTTAACCTTGTCTTCTGGGAAGAGGACCTGGCCACAGTGATCCATTGATGGATGATTGTAAATCATTGTACTTGGAGCTGAAGGTGGAACCAATATTGATGCCCCCAGCTCATGAAAAACATAGCTGGGTGCCTCTTCAGTGATGCAGGCCACCAGGAACACACTAGGTCAGTACTCCTTATCTTTGTCCCCTAGTTCACTCCTGTCAATTCAAGGCTTTGGTCCTAATTTCCAAAGCCACCAAATTATCAAGAACTAGCTATAGCAGATACCACCTCTTCATGCATGACCCACGCCGATAGCTGTCCCACTCTGGGACAATGCAGCTAATCAAACCTAGGACAGTGGTTACAAGAGTTGGAGAGAAAGCATTCTGTCAAGGGGGTTTGTATTTGGTCTAATTTTCCCTTGTAGGTTAGTCGAAGCTAAAGCCTGAGTCCAGCAGAGGGTTTTGAACTTTCAAAGAGTGGGGAGCTCATGGGACTTGCAACTCCAGCAAACAGTTCTTGATGCATCTCTAAGACAAGGTAGGAAAGTGTACAACTTCTACACAAAAAGGAAAAGCAACTGTGAGTTGAAGTTCGTGTCTGATTAGAACTCTTGAAATTATTTTTTTTAAATAAACCATAGATCTCCTGCACTCACTTGCTTTACCATATCCTCCTGATCATCAATTGCTAGTTCAGGCATGTTCTGCTGTATTATTGGTGTCATGTCTTCCCATACTCCTCCACAAACACCCACTTCTTGCTTCCCACTAGGAACCCATTGTCTAGTGCTGAACGTTAATATCACTGTGGTTTAAAAGGAAACAGTCTTTCCCTTAAGAATTCAATGTCTTCTTTGGAGGGTGTCTGGTTCCTTACAAGTTCTTAGCCCAGCCCTCTTCAAAATTTTGTACTGGGCAGTGACAACTGTTTCAACAGATATCCCAGGGGTCGTCAAAGGCAGTGCGAGAGATCTGAAATCATGACTCCATTCCTCCAGCACAACACACTAGACCAACAGGAGGAGTACCCAGAGGAAGTTTTAAACCAGAGTCCCCTTATTGTGGGCAACACACCTATCTAACCTAAATTAGTTGGCACTCTAAATATTGCATGCAGCCTCCACGATGGAATAATAAAGGCCTCTTCAAGACACTTCCAGGTATCTTTATTATAGTTGAATAAGATTATTAGTTTACAGATAAAGCAAAACCCCAACACCCTAGCATGCATGACATGCTCAGAGGCTTGAAACATCCATATCAAAGCTCCCAGGAGACTAACGTGATCAGTAACAGGTGCTGACTTTTGGGCAGTGAGTCTTCTGCCTTGCTGACATGAGAGCTTCCTCCATCGCTGGTTCTCTCATAGAATTCTCTGTCCTCTTCAGGTGCAGTGGATCCTTTGAACAGTAACTGCCTGAGCCAGAGCCTATGGGAGTCTTTCCGTTTACTTCAGTGGGCTTTGGCTCAGGTCTTACATAACCCAAAAGCTCTGTAAAGAGGCCACTTGAAAGGAACTAGAAAGCTCAAGAACAGCTCTGCAGGAAGGAAGTCAGAAATTAAAGGTGTGGAAAACCTACTGAAGCATCTTTCATCCATTCTCCCCACCCATTGCAGGATTGTTCCCTGCAGTGTTTTAGTTCAGTCTAAGTTAAAATTGCTCCAGCGATAGTAATGGGGATTCCATCATGACCCTAGGAGAGATCTGTCCACTGTCTAATAAGAGTAGCTTCTGTGTATAGATACCAGGGAGCTGATTCTTGTACAACTACACTACTACAGAGAAACATGATTTACAAACTGCAATAGATAGGAATTGGTATGCATTAAGAAGTGTAAATGGGAGAAGATGTGAAAATGGAGGAGGATAAAATAACTCTATAGCTAGAAGTCATCATTCTTTTCTAACCTGAACATGTCCCTAATATTATCAAAAGCAGCTTGGTGTTTTGGGAAACCATCTGGCTTTAAAATAAGTGATGCTAATTCTGAAATACTGGCTTGAAGTTTGCCAGACTTGGAAATCATCCTTCTAGTGAACTTCAGGATATGAAAAGACAAGACATTCTGTACGGCAGTTCAGAATTCAAATCACCTTCAAGAGCTGAGTCTGATGTCAAACCGCTACTTCAGCAAATCAGAAAAGTCTGGCACGCTGGGGGAAATGGGCAACAAGTTGGTTGGGGAGGACAATCACTGCCAAAAACAAACAACTTGGCTTAAATATGCCTTGTTTCAAAATCTTCCTATAATGGCTGTAGCTAGAACTCTAACTGAGATACAGAGCATAGTGTTAGAATTGATACAGAATATGAAGAGTTGCGAGCAGAAGCATCTATTTAAGACATTAGGTCAGCTGAACTATCTGTTCCAAATATTAGATGGTATTATCAAGCCACATCTTAAAGTGAGAGTGGACTAGAATTGCTCTCATCCAACCAAACACAGGGACCTATATTCTGAGCTGCACCCAGCAGAAGGTAGCTGAAATAGTTGCAGCTCCCTGATCATGGGTCAGTTCTGTGCCAGCCCTGGTGTAGATTAGAACGACCTGGGGACAGCTCTGATTTACACTCCCTGGAAATGTCCCCCAGGGCCTATCACCAGCCAGGGATAGTCAAAGCTCAACATGTTCTGACCACACCTCCAGAGTGCCCCAACACATGTGTTATGCTGGGTGCTGAAGAGGGAGTAAAATAAGAGCTGAAGATGCCCCCACCCGAGAACAATTTCCAGCATGAGATCCTGCTGATTTCAGTTCCCTTTGTGCTTCTAAAGGCAAGAGAATCTTGCCCTAGCTCTCCATTGAACAAAATTATGATAATGAAAGATTAATAATAAATATAAGAACCAGACTCATCTGCAGTAGAAATACACAAAGTGATCTTAAGGAGAAAATAAGGCATAGGTGGCTGCCTGGCTTTTTTACATGCTCCTTGCACAGCTTGAGGCAGGACTAATTCAGCTGCTTGTGCAAATTAGAGCAGCCTCAAGGTTATTCTAACTTGATGGTACAGTAAAGCCCTACTCCTGCCCTTGCAGGCTGCAGCCTTTGGAGGCCTAGAACTCCCCCTCTGTGGGGGAAGAAGTGGTGGTATAGAGCCCAAGCAGCTCAAATGGGACAGAAGGGGGGGCGGGGAGGGGCAGCAAGATTTTAGTTTAAGAAATTCCTCATACAATGGGCCTAACCAGCTCCTTTTGTAGCCATTTATACTAGTGCAAAGTGGGTGTCATATGCCACCTAATCAGAATGCATTTTACACCAGTGCGAATATCTATGCAAGATGGAGGCAATGGTGAATAGGACCAGTATATCCTGCCTTGTGTAGAGAAGCGTTTCCTGTAGCTTGGGATTGCTCTGCCAGCTGGGAAAACTCAAAGTGTCTATTGTTGCCCTCTGTCTCCCCATACAAAATGTGGTAAGTTGCTGTTTAATTATCAATACTGCAACCCTGGTGATTATTTAGGAAGAATGAGCAATCACACTGAACAGCTATAAGAAGAAACACTGGAGACTCTAGCAAAAGTGCAAACGTTTCACAAATCTGGGAAGGCAAAAAAAATCCATAATATATTGCTTTTTATTCATCAAAGTGTGTATTTATCCCCTTCCAGTGAGAGACAATGCCTGCACAGCTGTCTGGCTCTTCCAGCGGGGCAGGGGGCGGGGTTCCTCATCCTCAGTTCTGTTTAGTCTTTGTTATTCTTTCCAAGGTCTCCCCTCTCTGCTGCCAGGGCTTCATTTCACTCCCTTCCTTGGCCTCCAGTGCCCATCAGCCTCTCACATCAAGGTCACCCTTGTCTTTGTTGCCATCCCACTCTTTGTCCTCCCCCATCTCTCTGCTGCAGGTGCCACTTAGCTCTCCTGGGTCCCTGGTATCGTTTTCCTGTTTTTTTTCCCTTCTCAGACTTGGTTCTGGCACAAATGAGCATTCAGAAGCTGTATACCACAGGGAGAAAAAGCAAAAACTTAGGTTATGTCTACACTACAGCCTAGGTCAGCATAACTTCTATTGATCAGGGGTGTGAATAAACCACCCCTCGGAGCGACATAAGTTACACCGACATAAGCGCTCGTGTGCACAGCCCTGTGTTGGCAGGAGAGCTTCTCCCGTCGACATAGAACGTCATCACCAAATGCACTGCACCGTTGCAGCTCCGCCACTACAGTGCTATACATGTAGATGTGCCCTAAATCTCTTGTGAAGGATCAAAGCCACCAATGTACATTGCCCCAGGGACTTAAACCCATTGTCCATACACTGCAGGAGAGGCGAGTCCAACTGTGGCACAGGGCCAGGGAGAAACTCACAGCAAAAAGATTGATGCATCCTGAAGACAATAGGCTAACACTGGAATCTTGCACTGAGTGAAAAGGGTGCAGTGGGAGGTGGTGGCAGAGGACAGAAGCATGGCAACTGGTGCTAAGTTACCAAGAATAAAAGTAGACAGTCCAGAGGGCTCCAGGGCTTTTACCTTGCTAAGGAGGCCAGAAAACATCCATTCTTCCCAGCCAGGGTTGCCAATTTTGGTTGGGCGTGTTCCTGGAGACACTCTTTAATTAAAGATTAAGCTTTAATTCCTGGAGACTCCAGGACAATCCTGGAGGGTTGGCAACCCTATTCCCAGCCCTCAATCTCATGCAACAGGGTTAGCATGCATTTTGCAGTCCCCTTTTCTGCAGGTGGGGTAAAGGCAGCCATGGTGAGGAGGGGAGCCATTTTGGTAAGATTGAGCTGAATGTGAGACTCTCTCACTCATTTATGGTGCTCTTGCTTTTAATGCCATTCTCCCTGCATATTTAGCTCCACTTCTTGCTGAATTTTGCAAGTTAGGTCACCTACCATGGTTATGTTCACTGCATACACACCACAAAGTTAGTTAACGTATAAATTATCTTGCTGGAAGATTGCAACATAATACTACATCAATTCACAGAATTCAGAGCGATAACACACAAGAACCCCAAAACCACAGAGAGAGAAAGCATGCTGCTCCCTATGCGGAGAAGCACAGCTCACCTCACCTTACTCTAGAGAGCCAACTGCAGATTGACTGCTGCTAGGCCCAGATCACACACTTCCCTACAGAGCCTTCTGTCTGCAAGCAGGATCAGGAAAACCCCCTGACATTTAAAATGAAACTTACAAATTTAAACACAGTTTTCAATACACCATAGTCACAAGCCAAGGTGATCATTTAGTTGGTTCCTAACATTTTGAATGCACAGCTGGGTTCCTTTGCTTGGGTGGGATGTGTTCTGGAAGTGAAGCACCTTCAGCAGTTATTCTGTGGAAGGACCTGCAGTGGGGCCAGCCAGCAAAGTAGAGGCACTCACAGACATGTAAATTTCTTTCTGCAGACACTCAGATTTGCTAGTTATGGGGTGAAACCCCAGGCATCTTCCACAGGGGAGTAGAGCATGGGGCCCTGATGGAACAATAAGCACAACATCTGAGTTTCCTCTTTTCTCTGAGTAGGGGGGCATGGAACCATCGGTTTTAGCAACAAACCCAAACTCCTCAGCCAAAAGATTGAACTGATCCTGATCTCTTGCAGAGAATTAAACCTGCTTGGCAGTGGTTTTTATTTATTTGTGTCTCCTTGGTCTCTTCCTGATTTAATCAAAACAGAAGTGTTGAAATGCTGGGAGAAATACCAGGCTTGAGGTACATGAATGCCACATCCAAACAAAATACTGGAACCCTTGTCTTTGAGCAAGAGCCTCATTCAGGCGGCAGGGCTGGGAAGATGATCTGAAAGGAACCTGAAACACTTTCACTGATAAGGAAACTGAGGCACAGAGTTGTAACCCAGCTTTTCAGAAATCACCACTCATGTGGGTGCCCTAAAAATTAGAGGCTTTTTGAAAACAGAGGCCTAAGTGACCTGCCTAGATTCACACAGGAAGTCTGGCAGAGCGGGGATTGTCAAAGGTGCCTAAGGGAGTTGAATTCAATGGGAGTTGGGTGCTTAATTCCTTAGGCACTTTGATAACCCCAGCCCTTAAATAATAACCCATATCCCCAAGGCCATGCTCCCTCCAATCCTTTCTGCTAAGGGCCATTCATCACTAATGGGAGAAACTTGACAAATGTCCAATGTGACAGGTCCCCCACCCTCTCTAACAGATTGTGGGTGGTTCCCATATTAGGTTCTGGTGAGCAGAAAGCATTAAAGGTAGATGACTAAGCTCGAGCACTGGGGCTCCTGGCGGCAGCTGCCAGCAGGTTCCCTGTGAGAAAATAGGCCACATTCTACTGAGCTGAAGTAGCAAGTAGTTCGTGTGCTGCGGACCTGCGGGATCGGTTGACGCTATGCACGTCTCATGCGGCGCCTCATGGTTTCAGACGCCATCCGATGGTCCAGGGACATCTACATCGATCACATCACCAGCCACCGACAGTACCAGGAGGCGTGAGCCAGAGTGACATCGTTTTCCCACTACGAGAAAGGGACCAAGTGACCTTCTCCGTTGGATCATATGAACTGGAACCATAAACTCCCTGAACATTAAATCTCATCAAATGAGGGTCAATCCATCCTCATCATCATATCCACTCATTATTATCCACACCCGAACATAGCCACTTTATGAACTTCATACCCTCATATCTCAATGTCTCTACTTTGACCCATCAACCTTTTACCCCCAATCGGGGATATTGCAGATTATGTATTCCTCATGCCACCTTATCTTAAACCAAACTTTGCACCCTCGATAATCTGTATGTTATTCCCTGATAACCAAAAACTTCTATGCTCAAACTCTGTTCACTATTTTTTTAACCCAGATCCCTAAGTGGCCCCCTCAAGGATTGAGGGGGCCACTTAGGGATCTGGGGCAAAAATCACTACTTGGTCCTGATAGTGAAGGCAGGGGGCTGGACTCGATGACCTTTCAAGGTCCCTTCCAGTTCTAGGAGATGGGATATCTCCATTAATTTTTTTTTAACATCATCTTAATAAAATTTTTAAATCTCAAGGTAGTTACAAAGCTGCAGCGGAGGCTGTTTGAACAGGGATTTCTGTGTCATAGTGAGAACTCATCGCAAAGTTCAAGTTGCACTTGTTTCAAAGGACACATAGTTCAGCAGCCCCCGGGTGATTTCTACAACATTCCTGTGGTGCGTCAGAGTCTAAAGTCCGCCTCTTATAAAAAGGGAATTTACAGATACTCAGCTGACTCTGCGTTGCCCTTTGGACAGACACATCAACAGCATGGGCTCAGCTCCCTTTCCCATTTCCCCTTTGGTTTTTTGGTCAGTGCAAACTGGAAACAGAGACGACAACTCAGAGCTGCTACCATGACCTTTGGCTGCAACGTGAAATGTTTGCTCTGGCCAATCAGGAAGTATTATCTAATCTCTAAAATAAACAACTTGCCTGCTTAAACTGAATGACCCGATAGCTAAGATAAAAGTCACTCTGCAGATACCTACCCCATACTGGTGGTGTCTGATGTTTCCTAGGGGTGATACATTTCCTCACCCAAGGAAAATACTTGAGCAGTTGAGCTACTGAAATGCCCTTTTGCTCGCAGACAGAAAAAGGGTTGAGGCCCTGATTCAGCAAAGCACTTAAACATGTGCCTAAATCGCACTGACTTCAGTGGGACTTAAAATGCTTTATTGATTTGGGGCCATATAATCAGCCCCTTGGAAAACACAAGGAGTTCCAAAGCCCAGTTATGTTACTGAACCTAAAAGCAAACAACCCATAGAAGGCCTTTCTCTCAGGGTACGTCTTCACTGCAGTTAACTTGCGTTATGTATACTCAAGTTACTCCTCTCAGGTTAACCTAGCTTGCCTGAGAGCAGCCACACTGAGAAATAATACTTGAGCTGTTGTCTTTCAGGGCTGGTCTACACTGAAAAGTTACATTGGCATAGCTACATCACTCCACACCCGTGAGAGACTTAGTTAAGTCGACCTAACCCCTGGTGTAGACAGGTCAATGGAATTCTTCTGCAGCCCAGCTACCGCCTCTCAGGGAGGTGGGCGAGCCCTTCCTGTCGCTATAGTAAGTGTCTACATTGAAGCGCTGCAACATTGTAGCTGTGCCACTGTAGTGCTTTTAAGTGTAAACAGAGCCTTACACTGAGGTGCTATACTCTCTTATGTGGTGCTAAGGCTTCTAGGGGTGTCCCCCGTGGTTCTTAGGCCTGGTCTACACCTAAAACTTAGGAGGACATAGCTCTGTCATTCAGGGCTGTGAACAGCATCAGGTCCTGTGTGACATAGTTAGGGTGACCTAACCCCCACTCTAGACACAGCTAGATCGACCAATTTTTTTTCATTGACCTCGCTGCTGCCTCTCGAAGGAGTTGATTTACTACAGCAACAGAAAAAAAACCCTTTGTCACTGTAGCAAGTGTCTACACTGCAGTGCAGTTGCAGCAGTGTCATGGTCATGCTTGTAATGTAGAAATACCATCAGCACTGCAGTAAGCTGAGTTGCTCTGTGAATTCTTTCCCAGTGAATTGGGAGAGAGCTTATCTGTTCTTTCTGGGCACACGACTGGAGGGAGACTGTGGTAAGGCACTGGAGGACTAGCAGCACTCAAGTGGAGCTAGCCTGCCTCCACCCAGCAGAGTGGTTGTGTTAGTAGTTGACAAATTGTGCTAACTTAAGCTTTAGCCCATTCCCCCCTGTTGGGCCAGCCAATTCAAGTGAAAAGCACTACTGCACTTGAGTTAAGGGTTCTCTGTGTGGATGGGACTCAAGTTTGGGTTTGATATTCCTAAGGTAAATAACATGTAGAAAAACAAAATAATTCTCCCCAGGGAGTGGGAGGGGAAGCTTTTTTGAGGCCACTGAAAAATAGCATAAAAGGCACTTAAAAAATCCTTAGCAGTTCACCTTAAAAAAACAAAGCCACACTGTATACATGGAGTCCAGCCTTTCTCACCACGCCCACTTCCACAGTACTGGGGCCACAGCCAGGCTTAGGATTCAGGGGAAAGCCAGCTAAATTATTCTTTGGTCCCTTATTTAACAAAGCTAGGACACCTCTTGCCCAGTGTGAGGCTGTGAATAGTCCGTGAGTGTTAGTTTATCAGGGAGATTTTTTCCTCTCAGCCTCTAGCAATCTATTTACATTTTTGAAGGAGAAAAGTTTGTGCCAACTCCCACTGAAATCAATGGGAAGGTTCTATTTCAAAGAGATTTGAACCGATCCCTAAATGTGCAGTGGAAAGGACTAGAAAAATCCATCTTTTCCACAGAAAAGAACTAAGATTAGCCTCGATGGTAGAAGGGACCAAGAACATCAGGAATCTGGGCCTGAAATCTTTGCAGGACCCAAAGGTTTGCCATGTGCTGGGCTGAGGAAGATGGTTGTTTCTAATGCTACATGTGCAAAGTAACTGAAAGCCTTAGGGAAACTACTGTATATAACCAGCTGTGCATCTAACCTACAGCCAGGCTCATTCCCGGAGCACCAGCTTACCAGACCTCAGTGCACTATTTTCCTTGCATGATACACCAGTAAAACAGCAATGTAAACTCCTCCCCTTTGCCACATCATGCACAGCACTTTATAAATGCAGTGGTTCCAAAGCTCCAGAGTTTTGCAGCCTAGACCTCCATTTGGGCCCCACCCCAAGCCTCGTAGGATACGGTGGGGTCATCCACAAACTCCCTGTACCTGGTAGAAAGACTGTATGCAGAAAGACCTTTGAAATTAAGAATGACTTAGCCCACAAGGGCTCTCCAAATCCACAAGGCCCCTCCACAGTAATACTGAGCTCTGATCTAGCACGTCTCATGTTCCAAGAGCTTTTCAGACATGAACTGAACAAGATGCAGGGCACCCCGCAAAGCATCTGCTTTCAATGATTGTGCATTATGCTTTTCCCTCTTAAAAAAAAAAAATCAAGTAACTCCAGGACTGTCATTTCTGGAGAGGAGGCAGTGTGGCCCAGTGGCTAGGATGTGGGGCTAACTCAGGAGAGACCTAGATTCTGTTCCCATCTCTGCCACTGACCTGCTGTGTCCTTGGGCAAGTCACTTCCCCTCTGTGTGCCTCAGTTCCTCCTCCCGCCCTGTATCTATCTTGTCTATTTGGTGTGTAAACTCTTTGAGGCAGGGACTGTCCATTACTATGGGTCTGTACAGCAGGGCCTAGATCTCAGGTCAGACTTCAAGGAACTACCCAGTTAAAAGTAATCAATATTTTAGTCACATGACATCATGAAACTGAAGGATCACATCTTTGGCCCTGTTATATTCCTGTCCTGGTTATTTCATAGAGCAGCGTGACTCCTCAGTCCCAGGGCTTTGCCATGCAGGAAGCCAGGCTGCTGTTTCCTATGTGCTCCTTTCAATCCAATAGCAAACACTGTGAAGGCAGGAGCTTTGGCAGCAGGGATTTTGGTTTGATAACCTCCAAAACTAAGCATTGGTGTTTGCATTATTGGAAATACATTATCTCCTAGGAAACTGGCTGGTTCCCAGGTGGATAAGACCACTTGTGGACTGGGGAGGCTTTGTGGGAGGCCAAGGAAGGTTTCAACAGTGGCCTAATGGAGTAGGTCAAAACTCTTGCTTTGATTGAATCCCCTGTGACCATGCCTCAGTGGGTCCCAACTGAGGATGCCAAATTCAGGACCAACTGCTGAGAAATACGGTAGATACACCCCAAGACTGGTGGCTAATCCCCCATAGGATATACCAAACCAGTAACAAAAGTAAACTTCTTTTTCACCACACTGTCTAACAAGAAATCGTAAAAGCAGTTTCCTTAGGTATCCCAGTCCTTGTATTACCACTGAAAACACTGGATTTAAAGGCGAATGGTTCTTTACAACCAGTCTCATTAAATAAAAGGTTCTTCTGATCTCAAAGGACCAGCCACACACCCAGGTCAATACATAACTTAGACCTTACCCAAAAATCACGCTGATGCTAAAGAAAAAGGAAAAAAAAAAAGGAAGGTGAGAGTTAAAATTGGTTAAATCAAATACATACAGTAATTGCAAAGTCCTTTGTTCAGGCTTGTAGCAGTGATGGAATAAACTGCTGGCTTAAGTCAAGTCTCTGGTTGCTTCCAAATCATTGGAAGGACCTCAGTCCTTTGGTTAGAATGCTCCCATTAGTACAAGTTCATAGTCCAGAGGCTGGAGCAGGATAGAGGCAAAATGGAGGTGTTTCCAGGGCCTTTTATAGCATCTGCCATGTGGAGGGAATCCCATTGTCCTTACTGTGGAAAATTACAGCAACAAGATGGAGTTTGGAGTCACATGGGCAAGTCACATGTCCATGCATTTCGCCTAGTCATAACAGGAAATTCCATTAAGTGTAGATAGGTGTCTCCCATGGTCCATTGTCAGTCAATTTGAATAGTCCCTCCAAGATGTTCTGGCTAGCTACCTTGTGGGCATAACCCCCAGGAGCAAACATTTGAAATCCAGGTATAGAGCCAATATTCACAACTTCAATGATACATGCATACAGATAGCATAATCATAACCAGCAAATCATAGCCTTCTCATAGACATCTTACATGCCATATTCTGTACAAGATTTGTTGCAAATATATAACAGTGGTTGCAACCATGATCTATATAGTCATATTTTAATCAGATGTCACCCACCCACCCCCAGAAACACTCACGGATTTTCATCATATACCATCTGCCGCTGCATTACAGCTGTCTCACCAGTCACAGTAGAAACCAGCGGGGGCAGCGAATCTGCCAGGAACACAGGGCTGAAGGGGCTGGGAAGGAAGTGGGTTGGATGCAGAACAGCAGCAGAACTGAAGTGGGCAGCAGCTGCAGGAAACAGAAGTAAAGTGGCCTTGGGGAGGTTGGACGGGAGAGAAGCTAAGTTTTGGATTGTGGGGCAGCAGGAGAGGAGTCTCAGCTCAGCTCTCACAGAGTTAACACAGACATGAATGGCTTAGAGAGCTACTGAGGAGCGACAAATGAGAGGAAGGAGGGGCGGATGTAGTTTGCTGGGTTTACACCAAGCTCATTCACTTGCCAGTTCACGTACATTCATTAAACTTCTAACTGCTCCCTCTGGTGGGGAACGTTAGTAAAACCACAACCACAGTGGGTTTTTTGTTTTGGTTTTGGGTTTTTTTGTTTTGTTTTTGTTTTAAGCAAACCAGGCTGCTGGTGAAAGTTGCTGCACTGACACAGCGCTGTAGAGTGACAGCCTCTCCTTCGTCACTCTCAGGTCAGGCAGCAGCGGTGCAAGGTCTCCGTGCACTGTCCCACCTGCGTGTCTCAGGAGCATAGCCAGGGCTCAGGCAGTAGTGTCATTTATGACAGTGGCTTCTGGGATGTGGATTGTTGTCCACCAGGAATGGGGGAGAGGCCTCTACCTCATCTGACACATGCCACCGAACGTCCAGATTTTTGGTCACAGCCACCTGCCTGGATTCCAATCAGTCATCCAGAGGTATGAAATAGGATCTTCTCAAGGCTGAGAAGACTCACATTTCACCTACAATTTCCCCCTCGTGGTTGCTAACTCTATTAAAAAAAAAATCTATGATGAATTTATTTAAAAAGACATCTACTAAATGAAACGAGTATCAGCTGCCCAGGTCTGCTGCGAAATGCAATAAACAACAAGGGAGCACAAACAATGGCAAGGGGACAATTCACTGCGGGTGTTTTTAGTGATTATTTGTATTACAGCAGCACTCAGAAATAGCACCCATTTGATATCAAGGCCCCATTGTGCTCGACCCTGTACACACGCAGTGAGACTGTCCCTGGAAATAGACAAGCTAGACACAGGGTAAGAGAAAGGAATCCTCTCCATTTTACAAAGGGGGAAAATTGAGAGACACAGAATTGCGCAAGGTCACACAGAAAGCTGGTGACAGAGCCAGGAACTGACCTTGGATATTAAGAAGTGCCAGGCCAGTGCTTTAACCACAAGACAGTCCTTCCGCTCTGATTGCGCAAGTGTCACAAGGGCCTAACTAATCTTGCAGAACCTTAAATGCTGGTGGCAATGTGCATGATGGAAAAGAACCCAACTTTACTCTCAGAGCCCCGGGTGGCAATTAGAATACACACTTTGTAAATTGAGCAAATGGAAATCACTGAGACTCAATAGACATGGAAGCCAATGCTGCCTATTTTACAGTCACTTTTCAAAGCTGCAACTCCTTCCTTGACTTGCCCTCTTGCATCTCAGAGTGGTGGTGCACAAACTCGCCAATGGCTGGCAGAGCCCTGCTGCAATAGCTAGGCACTGTGAAATGCACTCAGTGACGTGAACTCAACCCCCATCCATTACCTGAGCCCATTTCTGCACTTTGAATCTCTTCTTCCCTGCAAGCCCTCATGTCTCCTCTCTAGATTTTATAAAGCGGTGCTGGAGCGCAGTCACATACGCTCATCTAGAGACACAATAGATTTCCAGAGCCGAGATTAGCTAAGGAGCATTTCATTGACTTCTACTCTGTAGAAAAATGGAAAAAGTTTAAGTTTTAACACGCTCCGCAAAGCTAGTTTATATAGTGACTAACCACCGAGGAGAATTATAAGCAATTTAAAGAAGAGATTCCAAAAGATGATAAACAATGGGAGAAAATCACTACTGTCCAGTGGCTAAGAAGAGAAAGGGGTTTTCTTCGAGCTAGCTTATTATAAACCAGGGGTCAGCAACCTTTCAGAAGTGGGTGCCGAGTCTTCACTAACTCACTTTAACTTAAGGTTTGGCATGCCGGTAATACATTTTAACGTTTTTAGAAGGTCTCTCTCTATAAGTCTATATTATATAACTAAACTATTGTTGTATGTAAAGTAAACAAGGTTTAAACAAAATGTCTAAGAAGCTTAATTTAAAATTAAATTAAAATGCTGATCTTATGCCGCCGGCCCACTCAGCCCGCTGCCGGCCTGGGGTTCCGTTCACCTAGTTCGGCAGTGGGCTGAGCGGGGCCTGCGGGACCCCGGCTGGCAAGGGGCCGGCAGCCGGGACCCCAGACCAAGGGTGCAGGTGGGAATGTGGGGTGTGTGTGCAGGAACTCCCGTTTGGTGCTCAGGGTGGGTATGTGTGGGGGGGTGCAGGGGGCAGGGCAGAAGGCTGGGTGTGTGGGGAGGTTCAGGGGTCAGGGCAGAGGGCTGGGTGTGTGTGTGGGGGGGTGCAGGGGGCAGGGCAGAAGGCTGGGTGTGGGTGGGGGGTGAGGGGTCAGGGCCAAAGGGCTGGGTTGCTCGCCTCATGGGGGTGCTCACGGCAGGGGCTGGAGGGGATATGTCCCATTCCTACCCCTTTCCCCAGGGCCCCGTCCCCACCTCTTCTCTGCCTCCTCCTCGGAGCAGCGAGCACGCTGCGGCTCAGCTCCGTTCCCCCTCCCCCTCACAAGGGCGATCAGATGATCGGCGGCAGGGAGAGGGGCAGGAAAGCACCATGCTGGGGGAAGAAGCGGGGGAGGTGGGAGCTTGGCTGCCGGCATGACCAAGCTTCTGCCTCCTGCCCCTGCAGGAGAACTCGGTGGGCGGGAGGGCTGAGTGGGGCCAGGACCCCGGCAGGCAGCAGCGTGCCATCAAAAATCGGCTCGCATGCCGTCTTTGGCACGCGTGCTGCAGGTTGCCGACCCCTGTTATAAACATTCAAGTAGAGTTGACTGGGCCCAGCCATGACCTAGGCCTCATTCTAAGAGCATATAGCACATAGCACAAGGAGAGGGCACCCTTCCCAGTGCTTACAAACTAAACAGACAAGAGACAAATCGCGAGAGACAGGAAGCGTTGTCCCCAGTTTACAGATGAAACACAGAAAATAAGGGCCAGATTTTCAAGTGCTCAACACCAAGCAGGTCCCACGTTGACTAGGGTTACCATACGTCCGGATTTTCCCAGACATGTCCGGCTTTTTGGGCTCCAAATCCCCGTCCGGGGGGAAATCCCAAAAAGCCGGACATGTCCGGGAAAATCGGAGCGGTGCGGTGCCGGGGGCTCTGGGGCCGGGCTGGCGGAGCGGGGCCGGGGGCTCGGGGGCTGGG